AAAAACATATGCAAAATTTTTGCCAATTCAACCCATTTCATATGTTTTTAACTTATAAAATAACCAAAAAAATCAAATATCCAAAACGGCACATGGGAAAACCAATTCGGTAATCGAACGTGGCCCACCCAAGAAAAATTTGCTCAAAAATGGGAATCATCTACTACTCCTAAGTGAAAAAAATAAATCATTTACTACTCCTGAGTGAAAACAATAAAACAATGTTGTAAAACAAGAGAAAAATTCACAACAGTAGGCCTATAGAAAAGTGAGAAAATTCAGGTAATAGGAAGTTTATCAAAGATGTTTACTATCTTACCACTTTGTGGTATTATTGTGACGCTTTCGCTCATCCACACAAGTTGCATCCTTCCTTTCTTTCCTTCTTTCTCCCCAAACTTCCCTTCTTTCCGTCTGAGAACCTAATATCAGATTTGAGGTTCGTTCGTGAGCATTTCTCTGGGGTTAATTTCATAACAAAGTTTTTGATGCGTTGAAAAATTACTTCTGTCGTCAAGGTGCCCACTCCGATTGACTCGCAATGATAGTATCGGTCAATTTACGCGTAACAACAATTGATTTCAAGTTCCGTATTGGAGTTCTTCGCTTTGTGCCTAACAGCAAATTCGATTATTTTTCAGAGAAGCAAGAGAGGCGCTGTATTTTTTCCTTTATGGCTCTCTTACATAAGGGAGTGGAGCAAACTATATTTAAAATCACACTGCATATATTTCTCTGCCACTTACAAGATCTAAAATGTCCTGCAGTGCGGGATAAAATATGTTTCAGTTTTAGTTATAGCCTTGATTTGATAGTCCACTGTGAAGCGCCAATGGTCTTTCTTGGAGCCTTTTTTGACTAGTACTGTTGGGGAAGCAAATTTGCTCACTTTGTTCTATGGTACGTGTTCTCAACATTTCTTGGATTTGTCGTTCGATCTCGTTTCGTTTCTCTGAAGGTACCCGGTATGGTCTTTGCTTAGAAGTTGGTTGGATGGGGTCAAAATTCATACTAAGAGTAATGGGACCCGTATATTTACCAAGATTCCCGCCTCGTTTCCTACGAAACAGTCTTGATATTTACTTAATAATTTATAAAAATCTTGGAGTTGTACGTCATATAAAATGGAACGATTAAGTTGAATTTGACTTTGAATTGCTGTAGACTGTTGTATATTAGAAAAGCAGCGTAATTCTTCAGCAAAATCCCCAACTGGTGAGAGTACGGAAGTTTTCCCGTTTAGAGGGGATTCTTGAGGAAAGCTTTCATCATTTTTTTGTGTAGGGAAAATACAGGGTTCCAAGGGGTTTCTACTTCCACAAAAGCTGCTGTTGCTACTTTTGTATTTCTTGGTAAACAAACGGTGGTAAGGTTTGAATTAAAAATACGTAGATATACTGTGCCATTAACATTTGGACAAGGAGAGGATTTTCCCAACTTGGATTCCGTCCGGAAGACGAGATAGTGGGTCATCTGAGGCGAAAACTCCCTAATTATGAGGAAATGTGGATTTTTGTGGTTCCTATAGCTACATTATTGGAGAATGGTTGAAGAATGGTGTTATTGACTAAGTGAGTGACTAGTTGAGCGCAGTGTCAAGTGCATACGGTTATTTCGTCAAAAGAAACTGTGTTAGAGTGGTAATTGATCGACATTGTTTGTGCGAATTGTTGGATAACGTCGTTGCCAAGAATGAACGGAGAAGAACAGTTTGCATCAGGCTACGTAGCAAGTGATGGTTTTGCATGGTCATGGACCACCAGCAGCACTACAACCAATCATTCATTTGGAAACTGGAGCGGAGTATAGCGGATCAGGAGTTGTCCGCGATTCGCTAGCGAATCGCTGGATTCGCCAAGTCTAAAATCGGCCTATCACCACGGAACTGTAGAAAGCAAGTGGCTCACTTTCGAGCCGTTTGAAATCTACAGGATGGAGGCTCAGCGCAACTGCTACTGAACATGCCCTATCTCCTGTACCTTGGTGAGCTCCTGCCACAGTATCGAGTGCATGATAACGCATGATATAAAAACTGGTTGGCCTGGTAAGACTCATTCTCTTGCATCCTCGTGCCAAATCGGCTCTATTTGGTGAAGTTGGCGTACCTCTGCCCACCGTCGCAAGGACTCACTTGTTCTGTTACCTGCCGAAACTTCAAGTGAGAATTCCTTGTCTTAATTCTTTCTTTCAGGCGTACCATCCAGGATAGGTGAAACGTGCGCTACTACGTACAGTCGATATCTCGAAGTCTGATTGGGCGTGTCACCGGAAATGACGTGGCAGCCACCGCACTTGATAGATGTTGTGTGGATAAAATACTCCGCCAGATATCAGCAAAGCGTGTTGGAAGCAGCTTATCCGCGCAACTTCTATCAAGTGCGGTGGCTGCCACGTCATTTCCGGTGACACGCCCAATCAGACTTCGAGATATCGACTGTAACATGTACAAAACTGCAATGTTGGGATGCACCAGCGATGAAGAGCGAGAAATGTCAAGAGGATTGGCTCATCAAATCATGGGTACACAACGTGAACGACGAAGCAGACCAAGTCTTCTTCCATACAGAGCTGAAAACATTGTATCTTCATATCAGATCAATTTAGGGCAGTCATACAGCAGTGCATCACAAGAGCTGATCTGACTGATGACGTTTTTTTAGTTCACACACCAAGAAAGAACATCAAACATCAGCTGGTCAAAATGAACCTCTACGACCAGAACCTGCGTCGTAGAAAATTGCGTAATCTGCCCATATGGGAAAGTCGGAGACTGTGCACAGAGATCTGTGGTTTATCAGCTTCAGTGCCTAACTTGTAGTGCCTTATATATTGGAGAAACTGGAAGGCAATTAGGCGTGCGTGTGAAAGAACATCTTGCTGGCAAACGGAGAGAAAGTTTGGTTACACCGCTCGGTAAGGGAAATCATGCTGGTTCCGATTTCGACGTTAAATGCACGATATCTGGCCTACGAAAATGACATCGGTGCTAGGAAAACTCTTGAAACTTTTGGATAAAACTTCGTAATCCATATATGAATAACAGGAATGAATGCATCTCCATAACCGATGATTTCTTGCCATACATTCCACTATGTGAGCTCTGATTAAATGAACGTGACAACCTGCACGCACGCACCATGATGGAAGTGCAGTGATCTGTCAGTCTCACTTCCTACTTTATTTAGGAGTAGAGCAGGCTCTAGGGTGCTGGTGGAGTTAATGTGAGTGACCACTGTTACATTTGACTCTGGTTAAACCTTTTGTTGAGTTGTAACTAGTTAGAAGCAAGTCAGCGTTGAGCAGGATAAGTCCAAGTTTAAAACTTCCGAAATTATTCGAAAACGGCGGTCAAAACGACGGCTAAGTAAAAGCCTCACTATAAGAATACCTGTTCGGCACAGAAAAAATAGGTCATCTAAACATGCCAAGGTTTCAAGAAAGGCAAACTTGGAGTAATTTAGAGCCCTATTTAGTGGGATAGGTTTGTGTTCTAACTTACCTTGATTGCCAAACATTGCCCCAGCAGAAAACTGAACACTTCAATCAACTTGGCCGACGTGTGCTTTCGACCCAACATTACAAAACTTTAACTACCATTTATTTGGCAGGCTTGAAACAAATCCCAATCGAAGCCACACTACTGCAGTGGTTTTGCAACACACACCCGGTGGAGACTTTAGAAGGCTGCACAGATGAAAAAGTGCGCTCAAATTATTTCATTCCGTTTATTCGCTAGTGTTGTTTCTTCTGACCATTGCCATCTTTTTCCAAGCGAAGTTGCAGAGGGGCATACACTAATCGTTGCCTAGGTCGAATTCGATGTCGAGAGTCAGAGAAATGTTCCCCATTCCTTGCGTCTTTACTGTAGACAACCGCAGGAACGGTTTTACCGTGAATCAGGGAAGTGAAAAAATTTCCCCGTGTATATCACAATGTGGTTTGTATAGCTTTATGCGATCCTATATATAAGAATGTACACATTCGTATGAAATACCCGGTAATTGTGCGGTCTCATGTAACAAAAAAAAAAAACAAAAAAAACGAGAATGATGAAAAATGGACTGAGATGACGGCATTCGCATCAGGACTACACATGTTGGCAGCGATAATAGCGAACGAACAAGAGACATCAGCAGAAAAGCGCAAAGACATCGTTGAAGATTCCTCCGATGAAAGTAGATTCACGTCTAACATATAATTAGCATAAATTACTTCGAACCAATAAAAACAACAGAACCAACAACCTATCGGCAGTTAGGAAACTGGACTTAATTGCCATAGCGTACAGAACATTATTTAAAATAGAAGGCATCTATACTCTTCGAACTTGCAGCCATCATGGGCTGCGACACCTCGCATCAATCGATATCTAAGTTTTACATAATTCTACAGCTGGTGACACATGTCTGTCAAGTATAGATGCTAAGATGGACCAAATCCAACATTGTCATCTTTGCAAAGAAATAAATAGATAAATAAAGTATCTAGAAAAAATTAAAAGTGAATATGGTCAAGGATACAGTAGCACTATGAAGGCCAGGTGCGGATATAATCAGCTTGTCCCAATCAACAAGGAAACTCCCGGAGACCGCGTGCAGCACGTCCCTGGACGGAAATGGATCCTAAACTCTCTACTTCTCCGCCGCACTCCGCTAATCTTGATCATGCCGGGGTGGAAATGCAGAATGTTGGGGCCAATCCCCGGCCAGAATGGTGCTAGACAGGGCTCCTAAGAGAAGGCGATTCGCTTGCTGAAGGTTGAGGACATCCTGATCCAATTGAAAATAACACATCATAAGAGAAGATAGATTTGGCATTAACCCGAATAACTATGAAAAGGAATATAAATGGCAACGAACGAAAACAAAAACCCGAGCACTGTATCAGAAGTGCATCTCAAGAACTACTACGTATACTGAGAATGAGCATAATCAAAGGCTGCATCCCAACGATGACCGACACGGATTTACCAAGAGATGCCTATGAGCTCTACAAACTTCTCAACATTCAGTCGATTGAATCGGTCTGCGAGAAACGTGCAGGAAGTCGCACTCCATGTTCAATGCTCGACGTACCACAAACAGGGAATCTTCCAAACTGAAAGACCCAGCATTGAAGAAGAGCAGAATAAAGCAGAAAGTAATGAAGTAGAAGAAAGATCAAAAAAGCGAACGTGTTGAACTAAAATAGCTAATATCTGACCTTTGCGGTAGCTCCAAGCCATACATGTGACCGGGTCGAATACGGTAAGCGAAAGGAGCAAATCCTCGCTCTATGATAGCTATTGATGTAAACTTTGAATCAGGGGGATCGCTAGGACCACCGTCACCATTCCACAGCACTATTTTTGAACGGCGCTTCATAAGGTTGATCTGAAAACCGTCACATTGATTACCTTTATTCATTCACAGTCAAAGCGATGACTGGGATGATGAACCAAATGATGCTTTCCAAAGGGCAAACAAGATTATCTATCTTGAATCAAGTTTCTTGAGTTTAGATGGAAGGTTCAAGGTTACCTGAGTTGTTCCGTCACTAAACACCATAATGAGGCATTCAGATCCCAGATGTGTGAAGACCAGGTATGGTGGGCTATAACCCGATGAAAGTGCTGCGTTTCGCGACGCTTGTGACATGAGGAGATCAGTGTCGGCCAATTCGCGCTCCATGTAATCACGATACTGTCGGGCGATCTGTAAACTCACAATTACAGACAGAAATTAAGGGGAGAATCAAATGAGAACGTGGCTTCAAAAGTACCTCTATATGGGTTGCCGTTAGCCCAGAGTTTTGAATTGTGCCTGGATGAATGACATGAGGAGAGGAAAACGGAGTTTGTGCGTAGATGATCGTGGGAGAGTTTGCCCTATAAACATAACATTAGAAGTGGGCGTCAGTGAAATACGGGAAATTACGGGAAAGCATTGTCAACTGTACTAGAGCAGCCCTTTTAGTGTACAATTGTAATGGGAGAATGTTCGACTCAACAATAAGGTATATGCGCCGAATGAATGAATTTATTAAAACTCAGTGGCTGTTCAAAATAAGAACCCTCGTTAGTGCAGAATAATATGCAGTACATTCAGAGCGCTGAGCCTTACGGTGGCGTTTTCCGCCTGATGGACCCGCAAAGGGAGGAAGTCGAGTCCAAAAAGTGACACTGAAGTCATGTGGTGACTGAAAGATGAGCTCTACGTTGAACACCCGGCTGATGGATCGGCAAAAAAAGAAGGAAGTGTCACAAAAATGACTCTGTAGTCAAACGGTGTCATAAAAAGTTTCACAGAAGCATTAACAAGGTCAGTATCAGTTAAATAAAAACTATTAATCTAAAAGAAGTTGAGTGAAGCGATGCCCAAAATCTCGTACTATACTGCACTCGCATTGATCCTATCTCACACAGGGCAACTAAATATTGAAGTTCTGTCTATTCCTGCGAAAAGTGAAGTGACTCGAGCGAGTCTACTTCTATCAAAAAATGCAGGTGAGTCGGTGCAATTACAATTACGAGTTCTCACGACATTCACACTGCGCAACCACCGACATTAAAGCAAAAAACACTTGTCGAAGGCAAGCGCATTCTCAAACGAAAAAACATGTTCATTTCGTACGAAAAGTCACGTGGCTTTCCATTTCGGAAACTTTCAAGCCCTCTGAGTCCAATCATAGAATTCAAATGTACTCTACAAAATATCACGTAGGAACCGAAATATTCAAAACGCCTTGAAGAACCAATCCATAGTCGAATAAAAAACAAATGCATAACCATCGCAGAGGAATTGATGAACGAGAATTTTTAATTGCTGAACCAAAAGAGAGCCATACCCTCTACCCCAATGTCAAGGCGTCATGAGCGAACAATACTTTCCTTTCAATTTTTCTACAAACGACAATAGAAATAACTCACGGCCAACTCAGACATAGTCCTTCATTGAATTTCACAGATATTGAACCATCGCTGAACTGGCACCCAAAACCACGACGATTTGTGTAGTCCACCCATTTCGAGACAAAGACGGGTGGTAGAGGACAAGGCTCCAAAGCAAAATCGCAAGTTCCGCCTGAACCAGGTATAGTCATACAGCGCATGTCACTCGGTGTCATTAAAGACGTCATTTGAAGAAATATAGGTTACCGAGAAGGCCGCTAATGTCGTTCAGGTAGCCATTGACTGCAGCCGCTAGAGCAGGTCGGCGAGACATATCGGGATCGGAGCCAAATCCGGAATCATGAGTACTGACAATAGACTTGCGTCGAGACTAAAATTTCATTATCAAAATAGATAGATTAGTATTCAACACAAGGTAAAGGAAAAATTGCATTAGACGAACTCTGTTGGCACAAGTTTGTGCTGATGCGAGGTCCAAGGTGGAACGAGGTCGATGAGGGCGAGCTCCAGTTATGATGTTACCGTTGGCGTCATGTCTTGCCAAGTCCTTCATACTCTTAGCCCTTAAAGTTCAAGACCTTCAGTTTCCACAAACTTCAATAATACAAGACAAGACTTTGTTTAAAGAATAACATACCTGTGCAGCACGCTTTCCGGCACTGGATGACACATGACCATCCATGGATCTTCCTGTATCTCTCGTATAGTTGGACGGAAATTAGCCGAATGAATTAGGCATCTAAAATAGAATATGAACGTTGGAGATTAGATGTTGATGTTGATGTTTATTACATGCCACAGACATGTATCAACAGTAAAGCAACAAATAAAACGCCACGTAAAAGGAAAAGTAAAACCATACAATGTGCCAGAAAGAAAGGAGAAAAAAAAGAACGATAACATGATGAGAAAGGGAGTACCAATGTATTCAGTAGTCTACATTACTTGGAAAGTAGGAGCCTTGCTCAATTTTTGGTATTGCGAACCTGCTATTAAAAAAATCCCGCTGAATTCAACCCTTTTGGAACCTCATCAATCCTAACTTTTCTAAGTGAACACAGAAGGAACTCACGCATTTATCAGGTCCTTCGCCTCGTCGGAAATTCTTCGTCCAGGGTGGATACGAATATTGACCGGCTTGAATTCGTGCATACGTTTCTTCAAGGACTATCAGATTCGAAGGGAGGTTTTCCTATCAACATGCAGTACAGCATACATCCAATCGACCACACCTCACTACATTCGGAATGACCACGTTTCATCAAAATCTGAACATCAACGAGTAAGAAATTGGCCACATCAACAATGAGAGACTGCAGTGAGAAACTGCATTGTGTAAACCTTACTTCAGGGGCAAGATAATTTGGTGTTCCACTGACGCTCATTGGATTCAAATCCTGCTTGAGAATAGCCAGACCAAAGTCTGCCAGCTTCACCTGACCATCCGTGCCTAGATGAGAACAGTTACTTTATACAAACAGGTGGAAACCAGCAGCTGAAGTTGCGTTTATAGTTGGCGGATCTGCAGCAGGTGCGTCTGACATAAATCCATGGATACGGAATTCCCAGGGAAAAAGAACCAAGGAAGATGATGTCAAGGTTGGCCACTTAACAGCATACCACGACAGTGAAATTTAGGCGCAATCGATGCGTAAGTCACACATGGGCAGCCGGCTGCAGATTCGCCGACTATAAACACAGCCCACGGCACAGATGTAAACAAACCTATGAGAATGTTTCCAGGTTTCAGATCCCTGTGAAGGATATTCCTATCGAGAAGATACCGGACGGCCGATAAAATGCCAACCATGTAGCCTCTACTTTCGTATTCCGACAAATAGCCGCCTATAAATCATGAAAATGGCTTAAATAGATTTCAAGGAAAATCTTGTGACTATTTCAGTCATTTCATCAAAATTGGCACCAAACAACTGCACTATCGTTGCCCTTGAAGTGAAACGGGGCAAGGTGAGCACTGGCACGCCAAAGCACCAATTACTGCGTTAATGTGCTAGTGTCGGTTGGTGACAACTAGAAAGCTTTCCAAGTACATCCCCACCACACCAAAAACAACAAGTACCCTTTATGCTCAATGGAAGCAGCAAAAGGGCAGCCTAGACTGGAAAAATTAAAGAGCACAGTGTAAGCTATTAAGAACTTTTTCATCTGCAGCAAACAATTCTATTGGGCGCTAATGCAGTGCTTATTGAGGAGGAACAAGTGTTTATGAGACAACAATCACATAGGACGATTATCGCTTGCACCACAATTATCAAATCAGAAACCGGTTACAGAGAACCCGTTCCGAAAAAAAGGAGACCCTCTTAAAAACTCGCTATGGCGATAATCTATTTGCACTGCACCTCCAAAAACTAAGTAGGTGACTGAGTATTGATAGATGTAAAACTTCTCATAAAACAACGAGAAAGAGAAAAAGTTATAGCTACTCGTCAAAGTCGGCATTACCCTGAGTAAAAACAAGACTACCAGATTTTCAAAAGTAAAAACGTGGGCTTCGTGAAAGAAGAAATGTTATGAGCATCCTTTGAGCGCTGCAGTAGTTGCTGTAGAAAAACGGATGAACCTTGTTTTCAGGAGATAAAAGGATAAGCCGTGCAAAGGAGAATAATCCCCTACTTTTCCGTAATAGTTACAAGATTTACTATGCCACTGAGTCGTTTGCAAACAACACTTACCCATTTCTCTCTTCATCCATGGACACTTCTTGACAACTACTGTTTGCCAAGAACAAGTAGCTCACGAAAACATGGTAAAGTAAACCGCTCTCACAATTTCATCTTAGAAATTCTCGACAACAATGCACCAATGTGGTAGCGCCCCTTGAGAGCGCGCCGTACCAGTCACACTAGGTAGTACTAGTGCCATGTGAAGGACACCTCTACAAGAAATATGTGAAGGACAGAAATATCTGCGCAACTCACGTTTGCTCTGATTTATAAGGGTGAGCAGCGTCTGCTCGCGACATAGTTCCATAACCAGAAAGAAGTAATGGCGATCTTGAAAACTTCCACGTAGCCGAACAATATTCGGGTGGGAGACTGATCTGGAAAGTTGAATACCGTTTCTTTTGAAGAATGAAAGGATAAAAGAAGATGTCTCATTTTGCGGGAGAATGTTTTAAACGGTCGGACCTAACAGGTCCTTCTAAAATACCTCGAAATAGGGCTTCTGATCTTTCCGATCATAAAGCGCGTGTGAAACTTTTTGGTACACTGGACCTTTCTTTCTTCCTATTACACTCTGCTATCAGTCGCCTGCACCTTATCAGGCTTTTTACGAAGCTGTGAAACTACTGAATGGCTACTCCATTGGCATAACTTTGCCTATTCCTCAAAAACCGCGCATTTTTATTTTTTATGATCAAATATAGGTAGTCCCTGAGAATAATCAATGTGGATAGAGTAATCGGCTGATGCTACTGCTAGAGTGTCGCCGTACTCGGTCTATTATTATGAGCCGCTGATGGCCTCTATAGGTAACAATTGCCGTGAAATCTAGCACATCGGCCAAAAACAAAGGGAAAACAAACAAACCTGTGCAAATTAATCTCTCTGTGCATCTTTGAATATGACGGATCTTTCAATTTTGATTTCTCCACAACCTTCAATGCAAACTGCCCTCGACAACGATTTGATCTCACTGCGAAGCATTCTGCGAATCCGCCCTGAAATCCCGCCGGATAATGAAAATGTTAAACTTTCTGCTCTCAAACTATATGTCACAGCAGCCATCAACTCTTAGAGAACGGCAAAACATTCCTAGTATAATTGATTTGCTACCGTGCAACGGAACGGATGCCCAACATGTGTTAATCCCCTTTGGACCGTCGCACCAATCAACAAATCGCCGTCTCACATTGTACGACTGCAATTAGTTGGAACACGATTAAACTGTTGACAGTTTTGGTATGGTATTTAGTGGATGGGATTGATTCAGTAACTTCTCTCAACATACTCGCCAACATTAGCTACAATTGGCTATACTTAGCTTTAGCCAGTGCCGAACATACCACGCTAGAGGAAGTGCCACTTTCGCGACTTGAAAGATGTGGCAAAGGTGGCACGGACTTATGAATTGCATCGATTCCCCTCCGGACACGGTCACCACTTCAGAAAAGAGACCCTCATTTTCAATATTCTAGCTGATTTCTTCTCATACCTCCGCTATTGGCTCACTTCACACCACTACTTTCATTTTCGAGCGCTATAACCACACCAGAGTAATGGCGTGATGTGCCTAAAAAGAGCTTCCCGGGAAAGCATTCAGGGCTAGTCTTCGATTCAATGAATTGCTTGAAAAGAACGTGTTTGCTACAATTCGGAAAATATTCAAAAGAAATGCAGGAGTGAACACATTACGATGCACAAATAGCATCTCGATGCTTCGTAGAGCGACCACGGTCCAATTTTTCAAATCACACGTCATCTCTGTATAGAATGGGGCACCTTATACTAGAACAATTCCACAAAATAGTCAACAATCTAGACACATCTAAATACTCCCAAATCTTCTGCACCCCTCAGTCAACGTTCCAGCCCAATGTTTGCCTAATTATTGGACCATAGGCTTGTGACCCGATAGATTAGTGTTGCCTATATGCGATCGCACCGCGTCAGCCTTCTCACAAATAGAACGTTGAACCTTGATGACTGTTCCGTGTGCCCGTCATATCCACTATGCAAATGTCATTAGGTGCGCGGTGACAGTCGATCCTCACTCAATCAATATTAAGCGCACAATATGAGATCAGGCGTAACTATAGAGGCAAAATAAAATAATAAAATCGAAAAGGTGATGTAGAACGAACCTTGCCAAGGTACTGATCGACGTAGTATTCCTCTTTCGAGTACTCATCAACAATGCGATCGCCTGGTTCAAAAAGGGACGGCCCTCCGTTGCATTCTCGATCTCGTGAATCAGCTTGGTTATCTCGACATTCACCGTTTGGATTTCCAACGGAGAAGTATGGGCGTTCGGGTAGTATGCCCGAATTGGGCGAGTACGACTGCAGCCGCACCATTTAGAGATCGACTTCTGATTATCAGAATGGACAGCGAAGAGCGCCTGACCTAGAAATAAGAAGTTTTAACATTCTAAATGGATCTGTACAGGAATACCAGTTAACGGTGTGACATGGCAGCGATGAGAGAAAATGTCACGACTATCAGCTGGCTTGGCTCCAAAAGAGCACAGCTGACAGCTGCGGGGGAACCAGTAACAAAATACATATATTATAAGAAAGGTCTACACATGACTGCCATGCTAGTTTCTTCACGGTCTAGCAAATTTAATGGTGAGTGAATGTTCAATGTCCCACGTCCTATTCCGGTAGTGCGCCAGTTATCTGCTAGTGCACTCACCTAGTACAGTTGCCCTTCATATATGCCGTGCAACCAGTGCAGAAGTACTGCTTTGAAATTCACATTTGAATTAAACAGAACTGATTAAATGAAATATCCAATCGAAAAATCTAAAAAGGGCTAACAAAAAATTTTCTCACTTCAAAAAACCTATGGATGCGGATTCAAGATGGATCCTTGTAAGATCTAGGCCTGTTGACTCGCAGTCTCCAGGCATATATAAAAACGAGTATTTCTCAGTATATCATGTCATAGACAGACTTAATCAGAGCAAAGTTAACTCTTATCAGAATTCGATGTTCCCCGGCTAAAGTGAACAATCGACTGAAAGAATGAGTCGTAATACAAAGTGAAAAAGGTTACAGCGACTGCGACAAGCGTTGTGCCAGCAGTTAACTTCCTGTCAACGAAAGATACGTAAAGCCGCCGCATCAACGAATTCGGTTGACTAGCAAGCCTGACAAGTTCAAACTAAAATGTTGTGAAGAGGTCTCGAGCGACATGCAGAAACCTCTGACAAACAAATAGAAAACCGAAAAACTGAACATCGCAAGTAGATTTCCTGTGCTCCATAAACATCAGTCAGAGTATGAAGCAAGAATGACGGAGCTTGCAATAAATACGAAAAGCCCAGGCAAGTGGGAACACCTCTATCATTAAGCTTACACAAAAAATGAGATTCTCATACTTTTAGTATTCATTGAAAAAAAAGGCGAAGAAAAACCTGCAGCAGCCATAAATCGCAGAACTTACAACTGAAAAAGTGAGCAAGGAGGAAAAATCACCAAATCACCCTAAAATCTTACGGTAAGCCTGCTTCCATTTTTGCACAAAAACACCTTTTTTCTTCCGCCTTTATCAACAGTTCCTCCTCCTAGCGGTTTTGTTGAAGAAAAAACAGAAAAAAATCAAAATCAATAACACGAAGATGGCTGCCAAAAAATAAAGAATAACTAAAAAAAATAATAAAAAATAAGCAAGAAACAGCGCACACGATGTGCTTGAAGCGCTCACTTTCCTTAGTAGAATTAGCTATGGGAGAGGGGTGGGGGTAATGAAATAAACATCACACGAACTATCTAGTTAGAAGACAAAACCGAGAAAACGGAAAGATCTTCTTAATATTCACGTAATAATTAGCAGAAACATCAATCAAAATCATTTCCATTATAGAGAGATCATAGCAAAAAAGAGAGCCACGCATGGAACACGAGCCTGACGTAAAATTCCGTATGCTACAATACCAACATAAACGTATCATTGATTACCTTCCTTTTTGTGATTTCAATTTCATGACCACCTCATCACAAAAATTATCTAGATATGGAGCAGAATAAAATAACGAGAAGAAGGGAAAAAGAAGACGAGCTAAATGTAGGGATAGACCGCGAGAGCGGTGCTAAAATATTACCCTAATGAACGGACCCATTAGAAGACAAGCTAAAAATAGAGGTAGACCGAGAGGGCACTGCCAAAAAGTACATATAAATTAGTAACGCACATACAATGCTTGGTGACCCATGGAACTTTTTAATTACTAGATCTCCGTAAAGTTTCCATCCATCTGGTAACAGTTAACATTTCCTGAAAGTTTCTTGAGAATATTTACTGCTCACTGTATTTGCACAAAGGGCACTGTACAGAAGTTTCCAACACAGTGATACTCTGCCACCTTGGGAAAAAGATACGTGTGCACTATGGATTATTATGTACATGAAACTAGCTACAGACCCAAAAAGAAGTGTCTGACATCTTATTGAAATCTTTTCCTTATCGATATTTCTCCTCTACAAGCAAATGATGGTGAGAGGTTCAATATTTGAGCTACAGAAAACCACAGAAAATTTGTCCGATTATATGAAAAGATCTCCAGTCTATTGTTCTAACTTTGTAGAACCTCGTTTAGAGAAAAGTTGAGAGCTAAAATTCATGCCCGACCTCTTCCGGCGTGTAGGCTTAACGAATAGCGAATATTTGGCCTACAAAGGCTAGAAATCCGCGTGCAAAGAGATCTTCTCAGGGACATTTCTACGAAATGGTGAATGAATGAAGGCTATGATTATGCACGGCACATCGCTGAAGGTCATCGTTCGGAGATGTGCACTATGAAAAATAACCAAACGATCGCCGGCTGGGAACGATTGGAAATAAACGAGCAGTGGCTATAAAACATGGAAAGAACAGCTGAAGATGCCTTGACGAGAGGTAGTAGTAATGGGTAAAGAACAGTAGCAGGTGTCATCTAGGCAACATTAACGGCAACCGCGCAAAAACTGAACAACAACCATTAACAGGAAACCGGAACAACGTATGCAAAGGTGAAGGACAACGGCAATTATAAAACACCTGGAAGATGTAATATGCAATATGGAATGGAATTGGGGCGAAGAAATTCTTAGCAGAGTAGTGGAAACAGAAATTGATTTGTATAGGAGATGGATTTTTGGCGGATGTGGCGAGGCGAACGGTGGGCGCGGTTGACTGAGCCTGATGAGAAGAGGGGTATGTGTCCCCGTACAAGGTTATTGGCTCATTTCGGGGTGGACTGAGGGATATTTGACGAGTAAACCCCGAACGCGTCAAGGAGTAGAGAAGACGAATCATCATGCGGAGAATGGGGATTTCAAAGAGGAAAGGCGCCATTTGAAACGGACAAACGGGGAGGGACTGCACTTTGCGAATGGCTGGAGTGCAGAGATGAACGAATTGAGGCCAGCCGGGCTCAGAGTGCTGCTCAAGTACTACCCAAGGACACCGCAAAATGAATTCCAGCTATTCGCCATGCGAATTTAATTTAGCGAAAACCTATAACAGTCAAACCATAATTTTTTCATTGTGGCAACAGTACTTCGAACTTAATCATATGACTAATCAACCAGTAGGTATTCCTGAAAAAAGAGAATGATCCATGAAAAGGAAAATCTTTACAGGCAGCTACTGAAAAAAAAAACAACTAACGAGAATCGAAAACCAAATGGCCAACTGCCTTCTATATTGATTGGACTCGGTCGCACATACCATCGTTTTTATAACATAGCTCATTTCGGCCTACTTTAGCAAGGACATTAAACTGCGAAAACCTTTCCTATCCAGCGGGAATACTGTTGACAAAAAACCGCGCACACACACACTCATGTATACGTGAAAAAACGGTGACTGGTCGCCTAAAGTACAAACGATTTCTCAGTATGGTTCCTGGGTTCCATTCGTAATCCCGCATTTGGACTGGCGCGCACTAATTACTGAGCGTCCAATATAAAGCGTTTTTTTAAAACTGCGGGCAACTGATCGCGTTGGTTTCGGGATTGCATTCGTTAATATTTGTTGTCAACCAATTTATAGATAACTTCGCTAGCTACATCAAAGAGGGAATTCTTTCGCCAGAACCTGTCTCGAAACATGCCCCTGTGCTTTGAAAGCTATAGTATTAACAGCGGTGGTGCGACTATACTCTATATCACTCTAGGGCATTCTTCTTAGTAATGCGAGAGCCAAGTAGAAGGATTATTGGCACTTTTGCATCATTACAACCCCAGTGGGGCCGAGATGGGTCAAAAAATAATTAAGTTTCGCTGAAACTTGTGCTATGGGGTTATCGAGGGTCCTGATCACGAATATGGCATCCTTTTTGGCGCTGGCGCCAAAATTGGCGCTAGCAGGCGCCCTCCACTGATTATCACCAAATTCGCTGTAAACTTCTGTATAGGGGTTATTTGGGGCTATAAATATACCTGTTTCTCTAAGACATTACGTATCTTTGTCTGATTTATCTAAGCTTCCACAATATGCGGTAGGACTAAAGCTTAGGGATAGGGACACCTCCCGTAGAGAGGTGAACACGCGCACCGTGTGGCAAAAGTTGGAGTGTGTTAGACCACAGGGGAGTGCCCTACTCACTTTGGAGCCCTCCACTATTCAAAGGCTTAGTCCTGATTGCGATCTAATTAGTGCGAGGGCGCAGACGAGCAGGAAATAGGCGCCGAATAGCGCTAACAACAAAAACGAATGTCATATTCGTAATCAGGACCCCAAATAACCCCTATACAGAAGTTTACAGCGAATTTAGTGGGAATCAGTCGTGGCGCCACCTGGCGCCAAATGGCGCCAAATTGGCGCCCAGCGCCAAAAATGAATATCATATTCGTGATCAGGGCCCTCGATAACCCCCATAGCCGAAATTTCAGCGAAAATTATTTTTTGACCCATCTCACCCCTACTACTGGGGTTGTAATAATAGTGCATGCCTGTATATATTGATGATTTTTGGCAACGCGCTATTACTCCCCTTGTTTACAGTCATGTGTTATCAAATCCCGCTTTATAGGCATTGTCCTATATCTCTATGCTTGATCGTGTGCATTCTTACCAAAACCCCCTGCCGCTTGATTTTTCCCGGGAGCAGTCACGTTTATACCCCAGCATATGTATGGACATTCGACGCTTCATTATTGGCAGTCGACCCTGCGCTGGAATCGACTTCATCGAATAATACGATGCCAACCAAGATGTTACATAACTGTCGATAGCGCTGTGTGTCAGCAGCTTTGAGAAACTAAACCTCTTACCATTTTCTCTCCGTTACTGTAATCGCGTATGTTTGCTCATTTGAAAAAATAGCTGGATTTAGAATCAAAAATCGGGCCCTATCTTTTGGATATTA